GAGAGGTTCTGGTCCGGATGGACCGTAACCTCCTGCCCGAGGGAAGCGGCTCAAAAAGTCTGTGACCCGGGTGAGAAGGGTCAGCTGCTATCCGACCTGCACGCCCACGAGTTCTGGAGACGTACAGGTCCTGGAGAGATGGAAGGCTGCAGCCAATCACCTTCTCAGCAGAGCGCACAATGCGCTGCAGTCTATGTTTGTCCCTCACTGTGGCTCCAGCGTACCACACAGCGATGGAGGAAGTGAGGATGGACTCAATGATGGCCGTGTAAAACTGCACCATCATCTGGGTCGGCAGCTTGGCCTTTTTCAACTGCCGATGATGGAGCTGATGGATGGCTCCCACCTAAGGTCATGTGTGATGGTGGTTCCGAGGAAGCGGAAGGAGTCCACAGTGGTGACGGGGGTGTCCGTCAGGACGAGGGGGAGAGATGGGGCTGTGACTTTCCTGAAGTCCACAATCATCTCCACTGTCTTCTGAGCATTGAGCTCCAGGTTGTTGCTGCTGCACCAGTACACCAGCCGTTCCACTTCTCTCCTGTAGGCGGACTCATCACCGTCAGAGATGAGCCCGATGAGGGTGGTGTCGTCCGCAAACTTGATTAGTTTAACGGAGTCATAGCTCGAGGTGCAGCAGTTTGTGTACAGGGAGAAGAGCAGAGGAGAAAGTACACAGCCCTGTGGAGATCCTGTGCTAATTGTCTGAATGGTGGAAACATTCTTCCCCAGCCGCACGCACTGCCTTCGGTCCGTCAGGAAGTCAGTGATCCACCTGCAGGTGGAGTTGGGTACGTTGAGCATGGAGAGCTTGTCCTGGAGCAGAGCAGGGAGGATGGTGTTGAACGCAGAGCTGAAGTCCACAAACAGGATCCTAGCGTAGGTGCCCGTGGAGTCCAGGTGCTGCAGGATGAAGTGGAGGGCCAGGTTGATGGCGTCGTCTACAGACCTATTGGGTCTGTATGCGAACTGCAGAGGGTCCAGGAGGGGGGAGGTGAAGGACTTGAGATGGGGGAGGACCAGGCGCTGTAGACATGTCCCACTCGTTGTAGACACTCCCAAGCAGGTGGGAGGAATGCCATCCATCGCTGTTTCCCTACACTTCCGGGAGAGGGAATCGTCTCATCATTCATTCCCGCAGAAACTATACCTAAACACGACATTGCTGTGAACAACCTCTCCGACCGATGCAAGCATCCAGCCCATTGACATTTTAGATGCCAACGATGGAAGAGCTCTTGGTGACATAGTCGTGCAGCATGTTGGCATGGCAACGAGGGAGAGGCAGCTCAGTCGGCTGTGGTTTTGGGATTTAAATCATAAGGAACAGAGGGGAGTTGGAAAACAATTTCCAGGAATTGAAACAGCTCATTAGCAGGGATGGGCTGGTGAGATAGTAATTGCTTATTTGGTGGGGTGCTGAGTGTTAACTGTTACCTCTTCCCACTCAGACATCCCAGGAGAATCCCTCAAGACTCAAGTAGATGTTATCTCCTTTAAAACACAAACGCTTCTGATCCTGAATGCTCCTACCGTTTCCTGTTCTCCATCAAGGAAACGTGTTGCTCAAATTTGCATTTTTTCCACCTTTGTGCAAGAAACAGTCAGCGATCGGCACTCTTGAATGATTTGCCAGACAAGGAAGGTTAAATTAACCGACACAGAGACTTCAGCGCTGAGATCTGAAGGTAAAACCTAAGGTCAGACAGCTGGAAGAAAGCCAGTCAACAGGCCTAAAAATAGGAGATCACCGTTTGAGCAAAATCGTTCCAACTGAAGCAAGGCGGTCTTTAGAAAGTACAGCAGCGCACATACGGCAGGAAGACGTCCTGTTGTTACTTGGAGGAGATGATAAAATCAGAGCTCAGTGTTGAGGCATGTGAATGCATAAATGTTCAATTCAAGTGGAGGTCCCATAAAGCAATGCAAGGATTTTCCTAACACAACCAAAAGGCCAGACAGGGTGGCTTGATTAGGAAAAACAATCATAACAGAATCATTTTATCAATATTGAATATCCTAGATATCCTAGACAGTAGATTGTTTATTATCATCAGTGTTCACTTTACAGTTTTCCACCCTTGTATTTTTTTGAATCTTCAGAAATTAAAATGAACTTTGATCACCAATAGTCTTGCAAAATGGAATGTGTCTAAATATTAATGATGACTTCTTATGTTGTTTTGGGATCAATTAGAGGTTAAATGTAGAACAGGGTTCACCAACGTGGGACCCGTGGGCACAGTAGTGCCCCCAGGAGCCAAATAAGGTGCCCACAGGCCATTTCTCCAAATAGCACAACACATCTGCTGCCATATTTTATAAATGCACTAATTTAGATTTAAAAAACCAAACATAAAATGTGTATACGTGAGGTTTAGCTTAACTGATCAATTCTAGTTCAAAGGTCACTGTTGTATCAACCTCAGTATTAGTGATGTAGCTCTCAGCTTCACAAAGGTTGGCCACCCCTAAGGTAGAAGGCTGATATTTTGCACAGCCCTGAGACAGTTCTCGGATGCGACCTGACCGCTCACGTGCGTCTGGAAGCAACACGTCGGACCCACAAATACGCTAAAAATCGCTGTTTTGACTCCACTCGTCAAACTTTTTATGTTATTATTGATGTCTGTTGTCCTTTAGGAGCGCTGTAGGAGGACACACAGGGATTTACGGGGGTTGGAGGAGGAAAAAGAAAGAAAGAAAGAAAGAAAGAAAGAAAGAAAGAAAGAAAGAAAGAAAGAAAGAAAGAAAGAAAGAAAGAAAGAAAGAAAATCTATGTTTTATCAGTTTACTTTGACATAAACACGCTTTCTTGACAATCCTTGTGCAAAAAAAAGTGTATAAATAAAAACGACGGACGTGCGTTAATAGGGAAATAGCTGGCAAGCTGTGGTCACGCATGTTTATGCATGCCGTTGTAGGAGTGATAAATTTAGTGCTTTAAGAGCTTAATATATTTCCCTTACTTATGACCAATAAGCTGTGATACTCTATATAAATATAAAATATCAACTTGCCTGGTCTTTGGATGTTTAATCAGAAGATTCTAGAATTATTTGTTTATTCAGGGATTGTAAACACTTCGTCTTGATTCAAGGAAAGAGTCAGGGTCATTAAAGTAAGAATTTACTTTCCATCCATCCATTTTCTGAACCCGCTTGTCCATGAAGGGTCGCCGGGGGGGGGGGGGGGGGGGGGGCAGTGCCTATCTCCAGCGGTCAACATTGTGGGGTGAGTTTAACTTCACTTTAATTTGTTCTTGTGTCTGAGTGCGGGTGATGATTGCCTTGTCAAATCAAACATTACTGATTACCATATATATAAATCATTCATTGTAATAATTCATTTCATTTCAATAATTCAAGTACAGATTAATGAAACATTATTATCAGCCATAAAACATTGGTTAATTTCGTTTTATGAAAACGTTCACTTTATTCAGAGAGTGGGCACCCTGCGGTGGTATTAAAGAAGGCTTCGTTTGGGAACACAGGCTGACGTGTTCCTCCTGAAATGTCAACAAGGTTGCAGTATCCTTCTGGGCTTTTAGGAAGCTGGAGTGTAAAATCCACCTTGGAGAATAGAATCAGGTCTGCAGATGACCGGTGGCATATAGGTCATTCTGTAGGTGAAAAATTTCTGGACATTACACCGTGGGCGGTTCTGGTACTTTTTGGGTCGCAGCTACTGCCACTCCATCAGTGCGAGACCCTTACGAGAGATGAGCAAAATATCGAGCAAGCCAGAAATTTGTGCAAGCTTACGATTGCTGATCGGTAGCCGGTCACGCAGTGCCCATCGCCTCTCGTAACCCCCGTTTACTACGACGCTCAGCGCAAAACTCGCCCCGGGCTTCTCACATGCATGTTTTCGATCCTTTTACTTAAAAAATGAAAAAGTCGTGCAATGTACGCCCGACTTTACTGAAAGCAGCCATGAAACATGATTGCAGTAACCACATTTGACCACAGGTGGTCATTTTTACTTAATTCCCACAGATTGCACTTTTAAGGTGAAAGAGCCCTGAAACGGCTCATTCTGGAAGGTACTGAAACTGTCAAGAATAAAACTGCTGAGATTGCTTTATGTGAGAGAGTTAATGTAAAGAACTTCATGAATATGTATAGACCACAGAACTGTTCTAATTTAAGAAAAACGCCTTAATCTGTCTCATCTTTTGTACGTTTTTTTTTCAATGCAACAAATTCCATTGTTTGGTTCTTTTCTAAACACAGAGTATTGATTTGTTTTTATTAAACAGAGAAAGAAGTGACGCCACCAACATCGGCGGTACTCTGAGGATGGCTGCAGAGTTAGCCAAAACCTGTCAGCTAAAAAAGGTAAAAACTAATCAGTACGCTTTAGAAAAGAACCAAAACAACAGAACTTCATTCGTCTCTTTTAAACGGAATTACGATTCGTTTTTGGAAAGATGTATTGGACAGATGAACAAACTTTAATGAAGTTGAACAGAATAGTTTATGTTCAGCAGGTTTTCAAATATTTTCTCGTCCACAGGTTCAAGTTCATATGAAGTCACGGGTCATTGCTCTTAAGGTTCAAGTCAAGTCCAAGTCGTGTGACACGAGAACACAGTTCTGGGTAATGACAGAGTGTTAGTCATTATTAAGGAGATACCATCATGAAGACCCCTCACAGGTGACCCTACAGGTCAGCTATCCTAAAACACATCTCCCTCTCTCAGCTCTCCTGGAGCTCTCAGGAGCCGTTTGGCCTCAATCTTCTCTGAAACCAAACTGCTTTGACCCACTTTTGCCTGCTCTAAAATAAGAACTACAGCTAAAAATGAGAGAGTTGTTCCAACTCCTCAGACGAGTTACTCCTGAAGCCTCGTGACAGCCCACAACAGACCGGCTTTATCAGAAAACGCTCAGGTCGAACGTCTGAAAACCAGAAATCTGATGAATGCTAAAAAATGTCATTTGATAAGCAAAACGTCAAGTTCTCAGGTTACAGAAGAACAAGGTGATGACTTTCACCTCAGTGTGACTTTGTGAAAGAGGTGAAGATGAGATGAGGTCGTGAGACATTAATCTGCTGAGAGGGACGTTTCTCTGGACAGAGCAGCACTTCGTAAACACGCTGTCCTTGAATGCCTGCATGTCAATACAAAACCCACCAACAGGTTCAAAGCTTAAATCGAGATTTCCTCGTGGATCTAATCTGGTTGCTCACCATCTCCACTTGCCGTGGGTCCAGGTTGGTGGGCGCCGAGGCTGGAACATCAAACTGGATCTTCTTCCTCTCCTTGTGGTCCCCCTCGACCTCTGTCGGCATGGAGGGCTCCATGATTCTGGTCTCTGGGTGTCTGAGTCCAAGAGGAAGCCAAAGATCTTCTGTGGAAGAACCTCCCACTTCTGAAGTCTCCTCTCTCCTTCCTGTCTCACCTTTTGTCTCCCAAAACTCCCTCAGAAACCTGGGAGGACTTTTCTGTCCACCTGCTGTCAGCGTCTCCTCTCCAGGAGCTGCTGTTGTCCTCTGCTCCTCTGATTCAGCTTTCCCCTAAAAACCTGTGCAGCCGCAGCAGTGCATGTCCTCAGATCTGGCTGGGAGGCAGAGAGGTAGGAAGGTTGATGGAGGGGAGGGGCCAGCAGCTGAAAGTGGGTGGAGACATCATGAAAGGGGGAGGGGTCACATAAATTACAGGGAAGGGGGAGAAGCTTTTTCCACCTATCTGAACTGAGGCTGATTTGTAATCAGAAACACACACACACACATTATAATCTCATCACATCAGCTGAGCCTCTTTTGGCCTCAATTTGTGAATGAGAGATTTATGTTCATGGGGGAAGGGGGGGGGGGGGGGGAGTGCAGAGACAGATAAACAAGAGGAGAACACACACTCACTGGCATTTCACTGGATTTATAGCTGTTAATGCGCGTGATGCTGCAATGACAATCAGTCAAATAGAGAGAAAAACGTAAAAATGAAGTCATCACTGCCAGAAAGGAACAAAGTTTGTTCAGCTTTGAAAGGGAAGAAAAAAACTTGTTGCAGAGAAGAAAAATAAAAGTGTGCCTGAGTGCTTCTTTCAGAAAAAGGAGCTGTTTTTAACCCACATGGCAGAGGGATTTGGACAGTGCAGGGCTGTGGATTTGGCCGGGGGACAGAGTTTAGTTGTGACTGGAACCAAGGAGCTTTAGGAATGGCAGAGGAGGGCTAGAGGGCCTTTGTGGGCAGGAGACGCGTCCATCCAAGGTCACCATGGTGCACCAGGACTGGATGCACTATCTCTAAAAACTAATCTGAGTATTTATCTCACTGGCTGGTGCATGTTTATCCACAGTTTTACGTGTCGGCCCAAACCTGCTAAAGATCTCATTTCTGTCACTGGTTTATCTAAAGCTTGTCAGATAAAACAACAGATTACCGGACACTTCAGAAGTAAGAAGATCTTTTTGGCCACTTTGCTGTGTGATTCGGCTCCAGCCGTTGTGTAACTTGCAGTGTGATCAGCAGCAATTGTGCAAGTTTTCATAAGGAATGAGTAATAGGCTCTGTGTAAGAATCTGCAGCATTCCAGCTTTAATGAAACCACGGATTGAGTAATGTTTAAAACAATAGAGGAATGATTAGCTCAAGAATGTTTGCTATTTAAAAGGTTAGATCATCTGCACAAGACACGAGGAAGCCCAGAATCATCTTTTGAATAACGTTTTAAAAGATTTGGAGTTTTATTCACAGGTCAGATAGTTTTAAAGCTCTTTGTACCTAAATCAATCAGCTAGAACACAGAAATTGTCATGACTCCCAGTCTGAGGCCCTGTCCACACGTAGCTGGGGATCTGCCAAAACGTAGATATTTTACTACGTTTTGGCCTGTCATCCACACGAAAATGGAGTTTTTTCACACGAAAACGGATCTTTTTAAAAACTCCGGCCAAAGTGAAGATCTGCGTTTTCTCCGTTTTGGGTGTCTGCGTGTGGACAGACAAAACCGGAGTTTTAAGGTCCGCAACGTCACTTTCCGCGACAAAAAATGCTGACATCACGTGTGCGACCTGTGTTTACACTAGCCGACAGCATGGATGCCCTCAGAGCTGCGCTCGCTTTATCAATTGTCCAAGCGCTTTTTGCTTGTTTGTTTTTGCAAGCGGAATTACTGCTCCTTGCGGAAGACCACAGACGAAGGACGAGGTTAAGAATGGGAGAAGTACTGCCGCCTACAGGTCTGGCATGTCCTTAACAACGTATTTATCCGGGTACGTGTGGACAGAGTTTGTTTTTAAACGAGGTGGTGTGGATGCAAGTTTTTGGAGGGGCGGATATTCGTTTTTAAAAAAACGGCTACGTGTGGACTAGGCCTTACACCCTCCTCTGCCTCTGCTGCCTCCACAGCAACCTCAGCCTGCACCTCATCAACTTCATTCATCTCACCTGTTCCTGTCATCAGCTCATCCCACACACCTGCTCCCTCTGCTATTTAACTCCCAACCTGCTCTCCAACCTGTGCCAGATTATTGAACGCTCTTTGTCAGTAGATTTTCCAGCCTTACACCTTGCCTGATCACAGCCTGCACCTCATTTTCACGCCTGACCCCTGCCTAGGACTCTGCCTGCCATCTCGACCCTCGCCTGTCTTTGACCCCTTCTCTAGCCTCCATTTACCTGCTTCGCCTCATTTTGGTTTTTGACTCGCGCCTCCTCTCCGACTCTGTCTCCAGCCTTGCCCTCCTGGTAACGCCACATCCAATAAAGACTTTTTAAGGAGCTTTACTGTGTTTGGTGTCATCACGGGTCTTCCAAGTTCTGATTGTGACAGAAATCTGACTTTTTAAGAAGTTTTATGATGGCAAACCATCTGTTTTTGATTTACATCATGAATATATTTAAATAAAAGATAACTAAGTACCTCAAACGCCCTCTTTTGACTCACATAAGTTTTCTTTTGACTTTTTATTCACAAATAAGATTTGAAAAAACACTGTAAAAAAAGCTGTGAATTTAACAATGGTACACCATAAAATCATGACAGGAAAAACCCATCAACTATAAAACTATTAAGACTGTTTTTATGTGGAGTTGCTGTAAATACAATTGGTGAAAACAGTAATTTGTACATTTTCTTTTTGAAAAAATACATAATCTTGTTTAACAGAAAAAATCCTTAAAGATCAAGTCACCCCCTACCAGAGTAGTCCTCTACTCCCACTTCCTGTTTGAAAAATGCAAAAAATGCTGTTGCCTAACAGAACGAGAGGGAGGAGCAGCTAACAAACACACACACACAAGCTCACAATGACATTGTGACATCATATGGTACCAGCTAACGCCCTAGGGAGGAAGAGAGCGGGCAGCAGAGAGCGACAACGTCCTCTGCTGCCCGCGGATAAACGGAGTAGGAAGTGACACCACCATCAGCGTCAGCTCTGAAGATGTTTGCAGCCGCAAACGAAACCGTCAGCAAGGTAAAGAGAAACCGTATCTGTGTTTATAAAAGAACCAAAAATGGAATTAGAAGACAAACACGGCAAGAACGTACAAAAGATGTTTAAAGAAGAATACGGACAACAAGGAACAAAAGGACTTCCGCCATATGGAACGTTTACATAAAAAACGCGCACGTCTAAGGAACCACCATCGTTTCAATTTAAGATGCCGGGACGAAAACATCACACCAACAAGCCTACAGCTGAAAACACCAATCCGGACCAAGACAGCACAGAACATACTGGAAAGAACACAGAAAGCACTACTCAAAGAAAGGATAAGAAACAACCAAACAGAAGCAAGTGGATAATGAACTGGAAAGAAGGCACCTGGACTTAAAAAGGAATTACAAACATGATGAAAAAATGGAGGAACAAATTAGAGAACACACGATGGAACAACAGGAAAAATACTTTGTTAGGGATTTTATCAAAATGTTTTTCAATAACCCATTTCCTGTAGTCGAGGAGAAAAGGAGACAATGAGACAAGTCCACCAGTTATAACTGGCATATGTACGAGGCAAAATGCCCCGAGCATCTGGTCACAGAGTTTACTTAAACAAAAAAGAAGAGAGAGAGAGAGAGAGAGAGAGAGAGAGAGAGAGAGACTGTGTGTGTGTGTGTGTGTGTGTGTGTGTGTGTGTGTGTGTGTGTGTGTGTGTGTGTGTGTGTGTGTGTGTGTGTGTGTGTGTGTGTGTGTGTGTGTGTGTGAGTGTGTGTGTGTTTGTGTGTGTGTGAGTGGCTTGTGTGGTGTGTCTGAATAAGTGAGCATGCAACGAGGCAAAGAGTAATACATATTACATTCACTTGATTGAATCAATGATCAAGAAATAATAGATGTAAAATTTCCATAACAGAGTTCATAAAAGTAAAAGAAAGACACATAAAGAAGTTAAACAAACTCATCAACAAGAAAAAGAGAAAAGAAATACAAGATAACACCACACAGAGCTCATGGGTATGTAACATTTCACAATACGAACTAACAGAAGCAGAAGAAAGCATATTTAAAAAAGGTTTCAACTTTGCAGTAACACCAAAGAAAATACAATATGAAGAATTCATTGTAGCAACAGAACTAGCATGTCAATGTCACGATGGTCGACTGGGTACGGGAGTTGAGCTTGGTAAAGATGTTTGATATCAGGATTATTCGGTAGAGAACTCTGATCAGGGGTTTCAATGAAACGATGACTGAGTGAAGAGCCGGTGCGGCGTCTTCCATATATAGGCTTGGGTGTGACTGGGAGAATGCCGGGAGTTCCCGCGAGGAGCATGCTGGGAAATGTGGTCCAAGATGGAGGCCGGTTAGCTGGGAGAGGCCGGTCTGGGGGATTGGGTTCTGACAGGACCCCCCGGTCCAGGGACGGCTCCAGAAGTCCCAGGGCGACCTCGGCGGTCCCAGAAGTCAGAGACAAGGGCAGGGTCCAAGATGGAGCGGGCCGGCTCCCAGGAGCGTTCCTCAGGGCCGTAGTCCGCCCAATCGACCAGATACTGCCAGCCCCGTCCCCTGCGGCGAGCGTCCAGGATGCGCCGGACGGTGTAGATGGGCTCACCGTCGAGGAAGCGGGCAGGCGGAGGCGCCGGAGCCGGAGGCGGAAGGAGGGAGGATTCCACGTAGGGCTTGAGCCGGGAGATATGGAAGGTGGGATGGATGCGGAGACTCGCAGGCAGCCGCAGCCGGTACGTGACCGGGTTGATGACCCTTTGCACGGGGTAAGGCCCAAGGAACCGGGGAGCGAGCTTCCTGGACCCGGCACGGACACGGAGGTCTGCCGTGGACACTCAGACCTTATCCCCTGGAGCATATGAGGGACCAGGACGGTGTCGGCGGAGGTGTTGGTGAGAGTAACGGGCGTTAGCTCGGGTTATGGAGGCCCGTGCCTTTATCCAGGCGTTACTGCAGTGCCTCACCAGGGATTGAGCGGCCGGCACTGCAACTTCGGGTTCCTGGTGGGCAAAGACCGGGGGCTGGTAGCCATAGCAGACTTCGAACGGGGACATCAGAGTGGCCGAGGAGGTGTGGAGATTGTGGGATAACTCAGCCCAGAGGAGGTACTTAGGCCACTGCGAGGGTTGGGCCGAGACAAAGCAGCGGAGGTACCGACCCAGTTGTTGGTTTGCCCGCTCCGT